ATGCTGTTGAAATACTAAAACCGTCTCTTTGCCCTATTTATATTGATGGTTTTCATATTAGGTGTGCTGCACACATATATAATTTGATTGTTAGAGATGGTATAGCAATATATGATGATGGTTGCACAAAAGTTGAAACTGCATGTCATTTTATTTTTAAATGTCAAGTTAAGTCTAGACGTAGAGATTTTGAAAATCGTTGTGTTGAATTTAATCTTCCACCTAGAAAAATTCCAAAATCAGTGTGTACTAGATGGAATTCTTTATTTGAAATGCTTGAAGTTGCTTATGAATATAGGAAACCTTTACAAATGGTTTGGAATGCTCATAATTCAAATATGACATATAGGCTTGATGATAATGATTAGAATGACATAAAAGAACTTATAGAATTCTTAGAAGTTTTTTATTTAACTACCAAAAAAATATCTGCACTTTATTATCCAACTATTTGCTCTGTTTTACCTAATATTTGTGCTATTTCTAATAAGTTTTATAAATTCAAAAATAAACCAAGATTTGAAGAATCTGTTAAGAAAATGATTGAAAAATTAAAAAAATATTTTATTCCTATTCCTCAAATTTATTTAACTGCTTGTTTGTTAAACCCACATTACAAAGATGAAGGTGTATCACGAATGGTTGAAAAAATATATTTTAGTTTGGGTATTGATGGTGAAGATGATGAAACACCTAGTTGTCAAGATGTTAAAGATAGTATAAAAATTGAAACTAAAAACTGTATGACTTGTATAATTCCAATATAAGGAATGTAGTACATAACGAAGAGCCTCAAAGTTCTAGGAGTAGATATAATAATGAAGATGATATTGATGATATGATAGATTGTATTATTGAACTTTCTCATAATGATAGAAATGATTTTGATGCATATATTAATCAAAATACAGAACCTACTACTATTGATCTTCTAGAATGGTGGAGCAATCGCGGCAAAGGATTTCCAAAACTACAACCGGTCGCTCGAGATGTGTTAGCTATTCAAGCATCTTCAGTAGCTTCAGAAGGCGCTTTTAGTGCAGCAAGATTTCAAATTGGAGAGCATAGATATTCATTAGCAGCAGATAGCTTGGAGATATCCGTACTATTTAGAGATTGGATTAATGGCGAGAGAAGGAGTTATGGTCGTCCACCTTTACCGACCAAATTTGAAAATGACGTTGATGAAATAATGCAAGATTTTAGTGACGACGGCATTGATGCAAGGGAGGAACTAGCTAATCAACCAATTCCAGAGCATGTTAGTAGAGAAATGTTAAATGATTTAAAAAAAGATTTCCTTGGTAGCATGAACTATTAAATTTAAATGTCTATTAGTATGAGTATAATAATTCGAGGTCTAATTCAAACAGAACCCTTCCTAGAAGGTGGCTGTGTAGATTAGATTTTTTAATACTCTACTAATATTTTGTAACTCAACTTGTACTATTTAATTAATATTAATAAAAGTATAGGCTATTCGCCTTAATTATTTTTTATTATTGTCTTCAAAAGTTCAAATTTAACTTTTAAAGAGTGAAATTTAAACTTTTATAGTTTTAAAGTTTGAATTTAAATTTTCAATCTTTTAAAATTTAAAGTGTGAAATTTAAATTTTTATAATTTTATAGTTTTAAAGTTTGAATTTAAATTTTCAAAGTTTTAAATTGTGAAATTTAAACTTTTATACTTTTAAAGTTTGAAAGTTTGTATTTAAAACTTTAAAAGTATAATTTTTTTTGCTTCTAATAAAATTATAAGAGTTTTAATATTATTTGTGTAATGTTCCTAATTTTTTAATTTTAATAATTTTTTTTTTAATTATAAGTAACAGTTGGGACCCGGTTTCCGGTCCGGTCCGGTACTGGTCTGTTACCGGTCCAGGACGGGTACACGGATTTTTTCCCGGAATTACTGGTTCCGATCCGTCCCGGTCCGGTAGTCCCGATTCCGGTCCCGTTGCCAGCCTTACCTGCACCGTAGTATTATATTATTTTGATGAATATAAAGTTTAAATATTATTTCTTTTGTTTTAAAATTGGTGGCATCGGTATTTTTAGATTTTGATATTTAAATAAATTTATTTTTTATGGTAAATTTTTTATATATTTGTTAATTAGTTTGAATTGTTAGTTATTGTGACTTATAACAATTTTTACACAATTTACAAATATATAAATTTTATTTTAAAAAATTGAAGATTTCGTGAGTAATTTTTTATCAAACTTAAATTATTTGACTCTTAAAAAGTGAAAATGATCACGTAAATTAGAACAAAAGGAATGATTAATTATTATATTTCTGCAATTACCATTTACCACTATCAACACAATTATTAATTATAATGTATTTGAGTTTCACAATTTCATTTATTTATTATAGATTTAAAACTAACTTCATTTAGTGTGTTTGATGATATTAATTATGTCATTAATATTCGATATCAAATGGAGTATCTAGTATATCCGTGTATAAATTAAAAAAAAGTGGACCAAAGGTTTTTAGAACTACCAACACAATTTTACCATTTGGAAAAGTGTATTGTGTTGTGTTGTTAGTTGAAATAAAATATTTGCTTAGATGTAATTTAAATTTTAATCCATTGTATCGTTAAATTCATTATTAAGTAACTATCAAAAGTCTTGTTTTGTGTTGCGATGATTTAGTGTGATTTTTGTATTGTTATCTTCTTCCTCTTTTTTTTCATTTTATCTTTATTTATGTTTAACAATCATATTTTATCTTTTATACTACTTCTCTGTAGTACCACCAATTGTTGATATGAGACACCATGTAATGAAGTAAAATAATATGCAATCTATTCAAACGTTGAATTTATTAAGATAATACAATATGATAATACAATAAAAACATAATACATTATGATATATTCTGAAATAATACACAACAACCACCTAAAAACGAACTTATTCCAAATGGTCCATAAAAAAAAAGTAGAAACATGTTTCTCTTAGTTATATTACTAATAATGAATACCATAATTATGCAGAACAATAGTACTAATACCATAATAATTAATTAAACATGCATCCCAGAATTAAGGTGGAGTTGTAATACCTGAAAGAGAAAAAAAAAACAAAAAAAGACATAAGACAGATATATTTATATATATTGAAATTGAAATCTGAAACAGCATGTGTAATAGAGTAATTCTTATCATTAAGAAATTTAAACCTCCACCATTTTTGCTGCAAATATAAGCTTGTGAAAAAATTGTCCAAAAATCAAACAAAATATATTTCCAACAAAAACATGTTTTTTTTCGCAAGAATATTGGGTGTGTTTGGTACGGAGAAAATAAGTTTCTTAAAAGTTAAAAAGAAAATTATTTTCTTCGTAGAAATAGAGAAAACATTTACACTTTTCGCTCATTTTATATGAAATTTAAGAAAAAATAAATAAAATTTGTTGTTTAAAATGAGTGATAGATATTTATTTGACTATAATTATTTTATTAAGATATTTTAAAATTAAATTATTACTCCTTCCATTCCAATTTATATAAGATATTTGACTTAGACATGAAATTTAAGAAGAAAAATATGTAACTTTTAAAACTTATAGTTTAAAATAAATCATTTCATTTAAGATAAATGCAAATTTTAAAGTTAGTCAATACGAGTCATGTAAATTGATATGTACTGAATATAGAAATGAGTTATTTTTTTTGAAAGTAACTAAAAAGGAAAATAGATCGGACAGGGAGAGTATATATATAGTTGCTGAAGAAGAAATTAAAATTAAGATATCAACAAAAATAAGATGTAATCAGAAATGTGGTGACTTACTTCCGCACTTAAAATTACGAGGAACGGTGCGTCCGCAGCCTTGAATAAGGCGAATAATTCGCTTTGAGTTGATCATGGCGACCAATTTGGGAGTAACAATTGGGCAAAGACATTCCCAATGAGTAACTCTAGCTCTTTCACAGCATTTTGCCGATGGATTACTTCCAAACAATACAGACAGACATGCTTTTTTACCAAGATTCCTTTCTTCTCTACAAACTGATTCACTCACCTCTCCCTTTACTATTTTTATCTCCAAACCATATAATAATATCATTACCAATACCATACTCCATATCATTTTATTCATCATAATTTTATGATTCACTTCACCATATACATTATATCCCATCTATTTATAGGACTTAATAATTAGTGGGTAGTTGTGGTGGAGCCACGTCTTGTATTATATTAAGCATGTTCAGAATACGAAGAAATCGAAGGAAACTTTTTAGATGCTTAACATTATGAGTTCGAGTCATCAAGACAGTAAAAAGATAAAAGCTTCTAGAAGGAATAAAAAAATACTCCTTCTGTCCCAATTTATGTGGCACCATTTGAGTTGACACGATGTTTAAGAAAAAATAAATAAAGACTTTTGAAACTTTCGATTTAAAAGAATCCTTAATATTTATGTGGTTATAAATCATTTTGTTAAGAATAGAAAAGAAATTTTAAAGTTAAATTATTTCTAATTATAGTAAAGTGACATTTTTTGAATGAATTAGAAAAATGTATCACATAAAATAAAACGATTCGAACAAAAATTTGAATCTCTTTGGTTCTACCTACGCTCTGCGCTTGATAGGTAAGTAGCGCGCAACTTCCTCTCAATTTCTTGTTGGATAATGACTAGTATGACTTCGTTCTTTATCATAGGAGTCAAAGTCTTCCACTTTGGGTAGAATGGAATAAAATAATTTGAATCGGAGATTTTTTTTATTAAGGATAGATAAATCTTTGACTATTATATTATAATCTTTATATTCAATTTTATGTTATTCGTATTATAATTAATTAAGTAGGATAGTGAGAAAAAAGATTTAATTTTAGTCTCTTTTTGTCGGTGGAAAATTTATTTAAGTGTCACATAAATTGCTAAATTATTTTTTGTAACAAATAAGTTACTTAATTTTATATCCCATCTATTTATAGGACTTAATAATTAGTGGGTAGTTATGGTGGAGCCAAGTCTTGTATTAAACGTGTTCAGAATACGAAGAAAATAGAAGGAAACCATATAGATGCTAAGTATCCGTCACTTTCAATCTTAACATTGTGAGTTCGAGTCATCAAGACAGTAAAAATATAAAAGCTTCTAGAAGGAATTAAAAAATACTTCTTCTGTTCCAATTTATGTGGCACCAATTGAGTTGACACGATGTTTAAGAAAAAAAATAAAGACTTTTAAAACTTTCGATTTAAAAGAATCATTAATATTTATGTGGTTATAAATAATTTTGTTAAGAATAGAGAAGAAATTTTTAAGTTAAATTATTTGTAATTATAGTAAAATAACATTCTTTTTGGACGAAGAAAATATCATTTTTCATCCAAAAAAAAAAAAAAAAAAAGTTTTGAATCCCTTTAGTCCTACCTAGATTTGCCACTTGATAGGTAAGGAGTGCGCAACTTCCTTTTAATATCTTATTGACTAATGACTAGTATGACTTTGTTCTTTTATCATAGGAGTCTAGTCTCCCACTTTGGGTAGAAATTTTGGATGGAATAAAATAATTTTGAATTGGAGATTTTTTATCAAGGATAATATTTAATTGTACTCTCTCTTTTTTTTGGTAGAAATTTTCAGAAAAGATGTTATAAATTAATTAAACAATGGGTATATTTAAAAGGGAAATTTGGTCAAATTATGATTTTGTACATTAATAATAAATGGGCTAAAAGAATTGTTACAAATAAATTAAAATAAGGGAGGTAAGCATAATATCGTAAATCATGAGGGAGGTGAGTGTTACGGAGTGAAACCTGAGGGGAGGTTTCTGAAATTATTCCTTTTAAAAAAATTTTATTAACTATCAACACTATAGTGTTTATATATGTTTATAACTATCAAAATATAGTGTTTATATATGTTTATATATTACGTATTAGATGATGAAAATATATATGCACTATTTATTAAATGACAAGAATATATGCACTACTTTTTAATAAATATATATTTACTCTAAATTAATCTCAATATCGATGGATATATTTATCCGTTTAGGCGCGTTATTTTAATGAATATAAAGTTTAAATATATTACTTACTATGTTTAAGCAATTATCACTATCAACACAACTATTAATTACTATGCATTTGAGTTTCACAATTTTATATATTTACTTGTCAATTTTATATTATTGTGTATTTAAAATCAATATCATTCAGTGTATTAATCAATATATTTTATATCAAATATCTAGTATATTCATACATTCATACATAAATATAAAAGAACTGAATCAAAGATTTTTAGAGTAACAACACAGCCATGTTTGGATGATTATCATATCGTTCAATTCATTATTAGATAATGATGAAAAGTATTATTTTACCTAATGATTGATTTGATGTGATAATTTTGTTACTTTATTTATTTATTTTCTTATGTTGTCTATTTTTACTTTTACTCTATTTTTTATATAGTAGCTCCAATTGTTGTTGTGTGACACAGTGTAACGACGTAAAACAATATATTTATTCAAATATTGTTATTTAAACAATACAATATTATACATACAATACAACTTAAAAAACGATTTAAGGTGGCATTGTCCACGGAGAACCCACCCCAAAGCCAAGTCACTATGGTATCTCCTACTACAGGCCCAAGACCAATTCTGGTTCTTCTTTCTATCAAAATAAATCGAATTCAAAAGCGTATAATACAACATGATATATTATGAATCAACACGTAATAACCATCCAAAAAAGGGACTTATTCCAAATGGTCCATAGTAACCCAAAAAAAAAAGTACAAACATGTTTCTCTTAGTTAATAACTGAATACCATAATTATGCAGAGCATAGTACATACTAATACCATAATTAATTAAACATGCATCTCAAGATTAAGGTGGAGTGGTAATACCTGCAAAAATGGAGATACAGAAAAAAAAAACGACATAAGACAGATATATTTATATATATTGAAATTGAAATCTGAAACGGCGTGGGTAATAAAGTAATTTCAATCATTAATAAAATTTAAACCTCAACCATTTTTGCTACAAATATGAGCTTGTGAAAAAAAATGGTCCAATAATTAAATATAAAACAAAATATGTCCAAAAAAAATATGTTATTTTCGAAAGAATATTGGGTTTGTATTTGGTATAGAGGAAATAAGTTTCTTAAAAAAGTTAAAGAAAAATTATATGAATATATGATTTCTCTTTTCTTAATCAAAGATATCTCGAGACTTACTTCCGCACTTGAAGTTACGAGGAACGGTGCGTCCGCAGCCTTGAATAAGGCGAATAATTCGTTTAGGGTTGAGTATGGCAGCCAATTTGGGAGTAATAATTGGGCAAAAACATTCCTCATGAGTAACTCTAGCTCTTTCACAGCATTCTGCTGATGGATTCATTCCAACTAATACAGACATACATGCTTTTTTACCAATTCTCCTTTCTTCTCTACAAATTGATTCACTCACCTCTCCCTTTACTATTTTTATCTCCCAATTACCATATAATATCACTACTAATACCATACTCCAAATCATTTTATTCATCATATTTGATGACATTTTATAATTCACTTCACAATAGATTATCCCCTCTATTTATAGGACTTGATAATTAGTGGTAATAGTGGTGGAGCCAGGTTTTGTATTAATTAAGCGTGTTCAGAATATGAAGAAATTGAAGGAAGTTGTTTAGATGGTAAGGATCTCTCACTTTCAATCCTAAGATTGTGAGTTCGAGTTATCAAGATAGTAAAAACATAGAAGCTTCTAGGCCAATTTATGTGACACATTTCGTTTTTCTAAAAAAGTACTATAGGTCACACAATAATTGACAATTCAAAATATTTAGAAGAGATATAAAAATTTACAATTAAAATAAACTTATTTGAATCTCGAAATTCTAAATGTGTCACATAAATTGAGACATAGAACCGTCCCATTTTATATTGTACCGTTTAACATGGCATGGTGTTAAAAAAAATACTTTTTAAACTTAGGGGTTGTTTGGTGTGAAGGATAATACCAAATAGTCCTGGAATTAAATTATAATACCACTTAATTTGTTGTTTGGTTGGCAAGTCCGGGATAACTTATCCCGGGATTAATAATTTGTACCGGGATAAGTTATCCCTCCCCTTGGGTGGTATAGTAATCCCGAGATAACTTATCCCGGGATAAAATAAGTAAATGACAAAAATGTCTCTTTCAACCCTTTTCTTACATCACTTTTTACATTCATGAAGGGCATTTTTGTAAACAAATAAATTGTTCTTAAAATTTATTATTTTGAATACAACAAACCAAAAACTCAATAAAAAATAATCTCATCATAACATATCCCATCATAACTAATCTCATCATAATTTATCTCGTCATAATTAATTCCATCATAACTTGAATTCAAACCAAACGACCCCTTATGGTTTAAAAGAATCCTCAGATATTTATTTTGTTATAAATTTTTTTATTAAGAGTAAAAATGAAATTTTAAAGTTAAATTAGTTCTAATTACAGTAAAGTAACATTCTTTTTCAATGGATTAAAAGAAAGAAATGTTACATAAAATAAAACGAAAAAAACACAATTTTCGTCAAAAGAAATTTGAATCCCTTTGGCCCTACCTAACTTTCCGGGTAAGGAACGCGTAAGTTCCTTTTAATTTCTTATTGACTAGTATGACTTTGTTCTTTATCATAGGAGTCAAGTCTCCCTCTTTAGGTAGAAATTTTGGATGGAATAAAATAATTTTGAATCGGAGATTTTTGATTAAAGATCAAGAAATTTTGTCTATTTTATTATAATCTTAAATAGTAGAGATGGTAGTTCAAGTTTTATTTTAATCGTATTATAATTAATTAAGTAGTGTAATGAGAAAAATATTTAATTTTATTATTTTTTTGGTAGAAATTTTATTCAAGTGTCACACAAATTGCTAAATTATTTTTTGCAAGAACAAGTTACTTATTTTTAATTTTATTTGTATCACAAAAGAGTTATTAGGAGGGAATAAAAGAAACCTTTTATAATATGAGATTTTATATATACCTAGAAAATGTGATTTCTAATTCGTTAAAAAAATATTTAATATACTTTTTCTGATTATCTTGCCCAATGTATATTATATATAAAAATTCACTATGTCACTTAGATTTTAGCCGGATGGATAGATTTCATCTGAACTCACTTTGATAGAAAATTGTAGTGCTTATATATGATTAAAATTATTATTTATTTATTTTTATATGATAAATTTTAGTAGCTCAGTTGACTGATTACCTAAACTCCCATTTTAATGGTGAAAATTAGATTTTCCACATTGTGTTCCTCTCCCCTTCCTGTACCCTCATTTTAAAAAAAGAACTAAAAAAATGTTTTTTATGTTGAATTTTCTTTGACTTTATATTTACTTCCTCATAATTTGAATCTCCGTAGTAAAAATTTATGTTTAACTTGGATTACATATCAGTCAGTTTGCTTCGATTTTAACATTTATTGATTCGATTTATCGATTATCAATTTGTAAAACATGTTAAATCTTTTTTTATTCATTATCAATAAATTAATAGTAACTCTTTTCTAATTCAAATTATTGGTTTTGATTCGATTTTGAATAACCTTATTCTATGCCACACAATTTTGGAGTGTGGAAGGGATTATTATTTCCCATATTTTTCTTCTCAAAAAGTTTAACTTCTTTTTGACTAGTAGTCACATAGGCCATTTTTTTCCAATATTCACACATTGCAAATTTTGTTGTAAATAATTAAATATGAATTTCCACTTCATGACTTTTAGGATTTAGACATGACTTTCAAGATTTCCTCCGTGATCATGAAAGATTACAAACACACTCTTACCCTCAAAATTTAGTAAAAGGGTAAATGACTAAATGTTGTTATTAAGGATTAAACAGACAACCTCAAACAACTTCTGCAATCCCTTAATTACTACACTAAATCTTCAACTTATGTCAAAATGTGTCAACCGTTATATATATATTCATTAAATCAAATTTTGACCTAATGTAATATTCCGACGAAGGGCTTGACACCCCTTGCCTTAAGATAGCTCCGCACCTGCTTATATACACATTCCTCTTATATGTAGAAAATTGAATACATTGAAAGGAAAAACATTACTAATCTATTTTTCTTTTTCTTTATTATTTAACTTCTAATATATTTATTTTATAACAGATCCTTCATTATCTCCTTTTCGCGGAAAAAACTTCATATTTCTTCTTTTTAGATTATATTCTCACAAATACATTTAAAAGGTTGGGTATGTTTTATTTAAAAATATATTTTTGACTGATTTAAGAGTCGCCACTTAATTTTTTAAGAAAAATCAAGAAAACTGATTTTCAATAGATTAAAACAGGAAATCAATTGAAAATACTTAAAGAGGGTTCGGGGTTCCTATTAATATTCTAGGAAGGTTTTTAAGGCACCTAGAATATCCACTAATGTGGTTATCCAACAATTAATTATTTGGCTAAAATAATTTTAACTTAACTCGACTTGCAAATTTGAACCATTTTATAGTTGAAACTATTTTAAAGGAGAAAAGGGGAAATATTGGGATATTACCTAAGTGAAATGTTTTTGTAAACTTATTTATTTATTTGTTTTTTAGTCAAGTAAAATATGAATAATTTAGTTAAGTTAATTAATTAAAAAGGGTGTCTTTCGGGGATTTGAATTTTTCAACCTTAAGACTAATAGCACATATTAACAAGTAAATAAACATAAAAAATGAATAAGGAAAGAGACTTGGGCCCAAGTATGGTTTTTCTGTCCGCCTGAACCAGTACTTGGACCCATTTTCGTTTTGGGCCTTTGGTCCAATTTTCACCTGTCCTAAGAACTAACAAGTAATAATAAGTAAAATGGCGAGGGCTTAGGCCCAATAATAACAAAATACAATTCCGAATAAATAAAGGTAGGCTTTGGCCCAATCTTTTTCAACTCCCAATTTGCTCCGCTTTTCTTTCAATTTTGAGACCTGTTCGTCGATTTTGATATCTAGCTGACTCGGATAAGAGGGGATATGGGCCTCCGTGGCCCAAAGGAAAATGCGAGGATAGAGTCCATGAGGACCCGGACAAATTTCACATGCAAACAGACTTGGTTTAAGAGTCGCCACTTAATTTTTTAAGAAAAATCAAGAAAACTGATTTTCAATAGATTAAAACAGGAAATCAATTGAAAATACTTAAAGAGGGTTCGGGGTTCCTATTAATATTCTAGGAAGGTTTTTAAGGCACCTAGAATATCCACTAATGTGGTTATCCAACAATTAATTATTTGGCTAAAATAATTTTAACTTAACTTAACTTGCAAAATTGAACTATTTTATAGTTGAAACTATTTTAAAGGAGAAAAGGGGAAATATTGGGATATTACCTAAGTGAAATGTTTTTGTAAACTTATTTATTTATTTGTTTTTTAGTCAAGTAAAATATGAATAATTTAGTTAAGTTAATTAATTAAAAAGGGTGTCTTTCGGGGATTTGAATTCTTTTAAAACCTTAAGATTAATAGCAAATAATAATGAGTAAACAAATATAATAAAGCAAAGAGAGAAAGGAACTTGGGCCCAAATCCGGTTTTCCTGTCCGCCTGGGCCGGTATTTGGGCCTGGTTCCAGTTTTGGGCCTTTGGCCCACTTGAGTCACCTGCACCTGTCCTATACCTCTAACATAAATAATAATAATAATAATAATTAAATAGGCTTAGGCCTAATAAATGACAAAATACGAATTTTTAAGATTAGTGGCCTCTTTAAGCCCATTTTCTCATTTTTCGTATACACTAGGTGTATGCTAGTGTATACAATCTCGTATCAGCTCCAAACTCTGTTCGTCAAATTTCGGGGGACCATCTTCAATTTGCTATGGTTGGTTGACTCGATAAAGGGTTTAGAGCCTTTACGGCTCTCTCGGGATGCGAAGGAAGAGTCCGTGAGGATTCAGACATATTTCACATGCGAAGCGAAGAATAAAGCACAAAATTAACGTTTGAGAGATAAAGTGGCAAGATTACGTAAACAAAGAAGAGAGGAAAATAATAGAAAAATAAGTAGCACATGCTAGTCAAAACATTAATAATGCCAAACTTAAACAATAATTTAAACGGAAGACCGATTAGGGACAAACATGTTTCTTATCTACAATAATGGATAATAATGTTGCAAAAAGTCAAAGGAAGACTAATATCTTTTCTGGAAATCAATAAAGCCAGCAAACAAAGGCAATCAAACTCAACATTTCCAAACTTAAGTAGGACATTGATTATCACCTCCTGTGCAAAAAAAATAAAATTTCTTGTTTCCACTAAATGGTCCCTTTTCCAAATAAATAGATGCATTTTTTTACATACTTGAATTAACACCTTGGTATGAGACATGAAGATCTAAGTAAGATGGGCATATGATGCTAAACAAAACAAGAAATTGAACTTTAATATCTACATATCCTAGTTCATGCATTTAGCTAAAGCAAAAAAGTGACATAACGTGGAACAAGATTTGGACTAATGTAACAAGAGGAATATCCTTCCCATGGAGCCAACTTCATGCCGG